AATCTCTGCCTGGGCTGGTAAGCAGGGTCCCATAGCCAGACTGTGGTTTCTGTTCACATGCTTGAGGTCTGGTTCAAACAGCAACTGTCACCTGCAAGGAGGGTGGCTAAAGGGCAAGGGACGTCTTAAAATTTCTACTTGCGATAGCTGTTCTGGGATCTCTCACGCTTCAGTCTTAAACAAGCGTGTCCTTGACCCTGCCTGTTGTGTTGGGTGTGTAAAACATGCCGCTGCCAGGGCGGGGGGAGATTGGGGGTGGAGGGGGCTCAGTGTTAGAGCAGACATAATTTGTTTTAGTTTGAAGTAATTGTTTTTTAAATAGGAAAAAAAAACAAACGCCCACCTCCTCAAAAGCTGACCTTCACTTGCAATTGGCAAACTATAAAACCTAAATGCATTTGAACTTATTACGTAAATGTAAATGCGGTTTTTACTGTTGAAAGTTTAATGAGTTGTACCACAGAACTAAAGGGAATTGGCAGGTAAGTGTCTGAAGCCAGAGTATCTCGAAGTAATAAGCTGACTCTCAGTGGCTGTGGTCTCTTCTATAACTGCCAAAGAGATTTTATCGTTGTTTTGTTTGTCTGGGATTTTTTTTGCGTGGGGTTGTTTTTTTTTTTTAAGTGTAGCCCTGTTCAAGAAGTGCTTCGTTCAAAGCTGAGTAATAAATTGGCGGAGGTGGGGGGAGCTTGCCTTCCTCTTCCAGTGCAGGACTAAAAAAATCAAGTATAAGAAGTTGAGATGTGCTAGCTCTAAAATCCAGGCGTTGTGATGACCAACTTTAGTTCACTGATCAGATGTAAAACTGTCTCTGGTTTTAATAAATTGGTGGGGTTTTTTATGTGCAAAGTGTTCTTTGATAATTATGCTGGATACAAAAGGAAAAAAGTACCTTACACTGCTTCAGTAAAAACAGGTTTCAGATGCTGGGTTTCTGCATGTCTAATTACAATTCCAGTTTGCATCCAAGAACGGCTTTACACTAATCACAAGTCAGAAAGCCTGATAAATAATTTACCATTTTCTAATGCGGTGTAATCAATGTGCATATCTGGAAGCGTGTTGACTCTATAACCGCTTAAATGTGTCTGTAGTTTCTCCTGGTTAGCGCGAAGAAATGCCAAATTCAGTGCAAAAAAACTTCGCTTCAAAACAACGTGTCTGGGGCTGATCCTCATTAGCTGCTTCCCTTGGAAGATGGCCTCGCAGTCACAGTACGAGTGCTGGAGGAGTACGGAGGAAAAGAACGGAATAAAAACTTTGATTTGCTCGTTTAAATCATAATTAAAGCTGGTGGTTTAAATAGACCAACTGACCAGCTCAGGTCGGTGTGGGAGCCCCCTGTTACCATCCCGCTGAGCTGCCCGTGCCCTTCACTGAAGAGCGGAGCATGTCGAGTGTGCTGTCCCTGCTTTGGTTTTCATCTCCTAGCCGTGGCAGGGCAGTAGTAGGAGGCCTCGGCTCTACCCAGAACACGCGCTGCAGGATCCTGCAACCTGGGACGCTTTTGCCTGCAGCCTTTCAGCCTTCTCTTGCCGGCCTCTGGTTGGTTTGTGGGTGTGATGGAGGTGCAGAAGTGACACAGAGTAAGATGGTGGCTGAGACGTGTGAGTGATCTGAATTGTGGTGGGGCGCAGTATTGCGGCACACTCAGCAGGTACAAGCTTCCCTTCCCAGGAAGGCTCCGGCTACCTCCAGAGGTTTCCTCTAGCCTCTGCTTGTCCCCCTCTGCCCCCTGTCAAGAGTGGAGGTGGACGATATTCCCAGGCTGAGTGAGTGTTTGGGGCAGCAACTGCCCCATCCTGGCGTGGGTGGGCAGAGGGTGACCCTGGGCTGGGGTCTGTGAGACTCTGCTGGAGGAAGGGCCCTGCTCCGCGCTGCCCCTGGCCCGGGGCAATGCAGGCAGGGGGGCAGCGGGAGTGCCGCTGGGCAGGATGCTGCCCAGCTTGATGCCGGGGCTTTGCCAGAGCCGGGCTCTGCTTTCCCTGTGCCGCGGGGGCCAGAACTGCCGAAGTCAGCAGCTGGAGCCAGTCCCAATTTGTTAGAAGTAAGCATGGATTTTGCATCCATCTGTGAGCATGGGAGCGCCCGCTCCCTCCTTTCTCTATTCTCCCTCCCTGGCTTCACAGGCGCCTCGCCAGAAGCACTGTGATAATGGGGGGGGGGGGGGGGGGGGC